TGTGATTTACATATATTTAAATGTGATCATCCAATATTTGGATCAATACCAATATTTAAAAAAAAACCATCTTTACATAAAATATCATCGAAATTAATTATTTCAAATATTGAATCAACTATTTCAACAATTCAATGTCCTGGTTTGTTTTATTTATTTATTTATTTATTTATTTAAAATAAATTTATTGATTTAAAGATGGAAAATCTAATTGTCCTGAAGAAACAACTTGTTGTCAATTAGAAGATGGTTTGTTTTATAAATATTTATTTATTTATTTATCTTGAAATTGATTTCTAAATAGAATCGTATGGATGTTGTCCATATCCTCAAGCATCTTGTTGTTCGGATAAAGTTTGTTTTATTTAAAAAAAGAAAAAAAAAAAGTAAAAATTGTAAATAAAATAATTTTAGATTCATTGTTGTGGAAATGGATATTCATGTGATGAAAGTGGTAAAAGATGTATTCGTCATTTGAATTGGTTAAATAAAATTGATATAAAACCATCTGGTGAAAAGTTCCGATCATTAAAAATAAAAGCAAAAGTTGAATCATATTCAAAATTATCTCCATTAAAAGATGAAACATGTCCTGATGGTAAAACAAAATGTTCATCAAGTTCAACATGTTGTCCAAATAAAGAAAATAATCAAATAACATATTCATGTTGTCCTTATTCAAAAGTAATTTTGTTTTTTATTTAAATAAATAATAAAAAAACCTATGTCAGGGTATATGTTGTGGTTCAAATGGTTCAGTTTGTTGTCCAAATAATTATATTTGTAATGAAGAAGAACTTTCTTGTCAATTAAATGATTTAATATTATATCGAGATGCTCCATATGATAATGATTATAATCGATGTGGAACATCAGATGATGCTTGTTCAGATGATCAAACATGTTGTAGAACTTATGGATCAACTGATAAAGAATTTGCTTGTTGTGCTTTTCCTGATGTATGTTTACATTTATTTATTCGATTTTATCTGTTTTTTTTTTATTTTTTCTTTTATAGGCTCAATGTTGTCAAGATGGTCAACATTGTTGTCCTAAAGGTACAAAATGTGATGTTCAATCTGGTGGATGTATTCAAAATGATTAACTTTTAAACAAGTTTACTTTTACTTTTTTTTAAATTTATTTTCGATAAGATAAAATTTTCATGATTTTCAAATAAAGTCTTTCAACTAAGATTCTTACTATCAATATAATTCAACATTTATTCGTTTTATTTTTAATATACTTTTATGTTTTTTATCAACATAAAAGTCTTTAACTAAAACTAATATTTACTGTCTGTCAAAAATAAAAATGGTTTCCACCATTTTTTGAATAACTTGAGAAGAGAAGTTGATAGCGAACTGTGATTTTCATCAGTCTAAAGAAGAGATATCGAGACGTATTTATCTCAGATATTCTATAAGAATAAACTATTTTAAAATTTACTGTATTTGTAAAACATCGAAAAAATGTAGAAAAATAATTCGTCATTAAGATGAAATTTTCAGAAAAAATCAGAAAATTTCCTTAAAAACTAAGAAAAATTGATACTTTTTCAATGAGTAAATTGAGAATTTGATATACTTTATCTTAGAATATGTGAAGATAATCATTCGAATTATATATTAAACTATAGATCTGAAGTTCCTCTATCTAAATAACATATAAAAACGAAAATTTCATCGAAATAGTTACCCGTTTTCATCCATATTTTCTAATGTTTTTCATAAATAATTGATTTGAAAATGATGTCATCTGATATAATATGAGAGAAAAAGACGGTCCAGCATCGTCTCTTTCAACTGGTGAAAATTGGAGCTCGCTATCTGCTTCCATTCTGAAATTATTCAAAAAATGGCGGAGACCATTTTTATTTTGGAGAGATAGTAGTTTTCATAATTATACATTTTTTTCCCAATCAATTCAATTTATATTCGAAACTTTATTTCTAATAAAAAAAAACCGAATGGTATGTTGAGTTGCATTTATCCTATAGATTATAATAAATTATTTATATTATAGTTTCAATTGATTACGTTTTGTTATCATTGAATATAAATAAATAGATACTGATGAGGTAACATATTCAACCCATTGTAATGTGCATATATAGTGTTCTAGTTTGTTTTTTTGACTCTTTATTTAGGATATTAGAAAAGAATATGAGTTTCAATATTGAAAAATGAAATTATAGTCTAGAGTTGTAGAAAAGCATTTTACCCATCTATTTGTTGAAAAAATAAACAGATTATAAATTAGGTTTTTAAAATTTTCTAGAAAATAATTTAAATAAAACATTTGATCCAAATAGATTTGAATGTCATTTTGAAAAGAGTCCTCAATAAAGATCTTATAGATAAATGTAATGAGAATATATTTATAGAAAAATTTGACAAATAAGTAGAATCTCTAACCAGTTAGATGTTTAGTGAAGAATTTTTTTCATAAAATAATAAATATAATATTCATATCGATTAACTATTTTTTAAAGATTGATACATTCTCACTTCATTCATATATGTAGATAACCTACGAACTCAACCAGAAATATATTCATAGAGAGTTATTATTAGTCATTCTTTAAGGAAAAGTTGAGAGATCGATAATCAACTACCTCGAACCTATTTGGTCAAGACAAAATTAATCTCAAACGATCAGATATTTATCTCTTACTGTTTTCGACTCCAACAACAGATGTTTAGAATTCAAAATAAACTTAATGATTTGTTTTCAGAGAAGAATTTCTAGTATTGACAACGATTAAAGTCGAAAACTACATTGAATATCTGTTGAAATGAGCACCTCATATTGCATATTTTTATTTTTCAGATTGTATCACCAATAACGACACCCAAAACACATTTTAACAGGTGATACAGAAATCATCGAGTAGTTTTCTAGTTCATTTTTTGCTCTTTTATATAACAGACGAAAATTTGAGAAAAGACTCATTCAATTGAGTATTTTATTTTCTATTTTGAAATTTTGAGAGATGAATTCTTTTGAAAATAGTATTATGCTCTTTTCATCTTGTTCGTAAACGTTCTAGAGTCTCACTTTTAATAAATATAGACAATAGTTCTATATCACTATATAACAAATATTCTGCGTCATTGATTCACCTATTTAATAAGTCAAATAATCTTTCTCAATACTCACACAATCATCATTCGCAATTTAACCGGTTTTTTTCTTCTTTTGTTTTTTGAAAAAACATCATTCTTTTACTTTTTAGTACCCGTACAAACTTTTTATTTTGAAATGAATACATGCAGAATTTAATTATGAATAGGTTGATAGAACTCTATATCGGAATTCATCGAACTTTTATTGGTCTAGAGTAAAACAATTGAAGAGTGTCAAAGATGGATACATTCAAAATTAGTTTTCAAATCTATTTATTTTGCTAAATTCGAAAATTTTTTCTAAAAAAATCTAAAATAAAACTTGAAAAAAATGTCTCGATAAATCGATAAAATAGTTAGAATATTTAAATTGATAGAATAAGTCAATAATTACTAATTGTTGAGTTTAGTTCGAATAAATAAAATATATTCATAGAGTCAAACACAGGAATATATTTATATCTGATCATTTCAAATCAATTTTATCTTGACTAAAACAAGTTCGAAATTGTTCAATCTCGATCATCGATTCATCGTTCAACTTCTAATCGAATAATGATTAACCGAGAAATAATCGAAATAAAAGAGCAACTAAATATTATTTCTATAAATTGTCTAAGTTAAACAGAGTCAATTAGATCTATGTGTATTATACAAAATGATGAATCAATATATAACAGATTGACTACCACCACATATTATTTATATCTGCATAAATAAATAGTTAACATCTCTTAGAATTTAATAAGATTGGAGATTTTAAAATATTTTATTTCTAACTGAATTATTCTCTGTATAATTAAATATATATTGGTGAAAGATGTCTAGAAAGAAATTTGTTGAAATTATAGAAATCTAACTTGATTTTAGTAGATTAATATGAAAAATAAAGTTGAAAATTGAATTTATTGAAATAATAGATAAGAGAAATGAATTTTATTCAATATATTTATTCGATTAAATTGAATAGAAATTTTAATATTTTTATTTTAAAATATGAAAATAGTTATGAACAGTTTGATTAAGATTTAATAAATTGAAATCATCAAATAAAAGATATGACTAAAAATATCAATCTATTCATTTTTTTATGATTAGTCAATGGATTTTAATCATTTGAATTCATATTAGAAAAAAAACGTTGACTTAGTTTCATTTTAAAAATTTGAAATCATTTTTCAAATAAAATAAATAAAAATAATAAATTCTAAATGTTTTAATAATGATTAACATTATTATAATTAATTATTTATTTAAATAATTTAAAATATGATAAAGATGATGATCACTCTTTACAGATTCGAATGTAAAAACGATTGAAAAACTTTTTTTATTTTATAAACAAAAAAAGCAAAGTTAGTCAATAAATATCTGTTATATCTAATATGAATTTATCTATATAGTTGCTTTTTTTTAATTATTATATTGATATGAATATATTAATAAATAAAGTAAATAAAATCTCGTTAAGAGACCTTTTCATTATAATATTGAAAGAAAATAAATACCAATTAAGTTGAGAATTCTATGATAAAAACATAATCAATAAATCTAATGATTCATTATAGATTTCTCACGTTTTTTTTCTTATTCGTAATAGTAATATAGTATAGATTTATTTCAAACGAATATAGGTGAGAGGATAAGACAAATAAATCATTGATGATGTCATATGTAATATATAAAAGTATTATTCTAACCAAAACAAAATGTCCTCAATGACGTATATCATAGATGAAAGAAAAATACATATAAACAAAAGAAAAATACATATAAACAAAAGAAAAAAAAAGAACAAACGATTAAATAAAAGTGAATATATTAATAATAAAAGAAAAAAATGTCTATATTAAAGTAAAATTTTAATATTAGATGGCTTCGAATGAATTAACAAGAATAGATCTCGATGGAAGAGAAAGATCTACTGAAGTTCGAGTGCATTTTGATGATACTGTTTGTACAGATGGTCACTCTTCATCATCAATATCTCGAAATAATAATAATAATATTGATGATTTATTCAAGGTAAATCGAGAAGTTAAATCTCGTCGTAAATCTGGTATACTTAAACGTCGAGAAAATACAATAACAAGAGCTGATGCCCCACCTATTATATTATCCGATGAAGGACTTAAAGCTGATCGAGTATCACCTTTTATAAATTTTTCATTATTTATCAGTATGACTATTCGTTCAATTGGTGTCATTTTTGGTGATATGTTAAGTTAAAAATAGTAGAAAAACTAAATTTAAAATAAATATATATTTTATTTATTTCAGTGGTACATCTCCTTTATATGTTGTCAAAATAATATTTGATTATTATCCAGAAGAAAAGGAAGTGATTGGTGCTTTATCATTAATTGTCTGGAGTTTAATTGTTGTTGTCTCATTAAAATATGTTATATTTATATTAATGGCAGATAATCGTGGTGAAGGTGGTTCATTTGCTTTATGTAGTTTATTAATTGGTCCAACAAGTCGTCTTCATTATCGTACGAAACAATTTGTTTGTATTATATCTATTCTTGCTGGTTGTTTATTAATTGGTGATGGTGCTTTAACTCCAGCTCTAACTATTTTATCAGCATTTGAAGGTTTAATTGTTGCTAAACCATCACTTCAACCATGGGCTCTACGAATATCTGTTATTATAATAATATTTTTATTTTTACTTCAACGATGGGGTTCATCTCGTATTGGAATTTTTTTTGGACCAATTATGATTTTATGGTTTATTTTATTAGGAACAATTGGTATATGGCGTATAACATATAAACCTATTATTTTAAAATCATTTAATCCATGGGAAGCACTCAATTATTTAATTCAATCAAAAAAGAAAGGTTTTTATCAAATTGGTTCCATTTTTTTATCAGTTACTGGTTTAGAAGCATTCTATGCCGATTTAGGATATTTTGGACGATGGCCTGTTAGATTTTCATGGTTTTTTTTAGTTTTTCCAGCTGTTTTACTTAACTATTTAGGACAAGGTGCACTTATTATTCTTTATCCAACATTTATTGATAATCCGTGAGTTAAATAAACAAAACTATTTCAATGTTTTTAATAAAATATATATAATTATTAAAGATATATATTCTCTTTAGATTTTATCATTCGGTACCAATTTGGGCATTATGGCCAGTTCTTGTATTTTCAGTTATATCATCAACAATAGCTTCACAAGCTATTATAACTGGTTCATTTTCTTTAGTTTCTCAAGCTATTGCTATGGGCTTTTGTGTTCCATGTACTGTAATTCATACATCTCGTTCAATAATAAGTCATATTTATGTTCCAGCTGCAAATTATTTTCTTTTAGCACTTACTCTTGCTGTAACAATTGGTTTTGGAACAAGTCATCGTATAACAGATGCATATGGAGTAACAGTATGTAGTGTAATGGTTCTAACAACAATTCTTTATATGATGGTTATACGTTCGACTTGGTTAAAACCAGTTTGGCTTGTTTTTTTCTTTGGAATTTTTTTAATTATTGATTTATATACATTTGCTGCAATTTGTACAACTAAAATAGCTTCGGGTGGTTGGGTTGCTATTATTATTGCATTTACTCTTTTTATATTTTCATTTAGCTGGTTTTATGGAAATTCTCGTCTTAACAATTATTTATTGAAAAATTGTAAAACACATTCACTAGAAAATTTACCAAATAGACTTCGACTTACAGATATTGATCATCCATTAAATAATTATGAACAATCAAATATAAGTTCAACTGATGATGATGATGATGATGATGATGATGATGATGATGATCAAAATGAAAAAGAAGAAAAGAAAAAAAGAATAAAATTAATAAAAAAAGATCGAAAAATAGATTCAATATCAATTATAGAAAATCTTGAAAATTCGATCGCCATGGAAACTATTGAAGAAAATAATATTGGTGAAAATAAATATGTAATAACTCCAGGAGTTGGTTGTTTTTTAACTCGATCAAAAAAATCTAGCCCATATATATTTGAAAATTTTCTTAGTAAAATGCATGCTCATCAACAAATATTAATATTTCTTAAAATCGAATATGCTCGAATGCCAAATATTGATGATGATCAACGTTTAATTATTCGATCTTTTGGAAAATATATTTATCATATAACATCAATATTTGGTTATAAAGAAACAAATATTAATTTATTTAATATTCTTTATTTAGCAGAACAACTTTATGATGTACCTATAACAAAAAATCAATCAGAAATAACTTTTTTTCTTCCCTATGAAATAATAGATATTCATAGAGATGGATGGAGAAGTTGGTTAAGACTATTTCCATTACATATATATTCTATATTAAAACATTTATATCCTGGAATCCCATTAAATTTTAAATCAATACCAAATGACACGATTTATGTTGGAATTATTGCTGATTGTTAAAATTTACTCGAATTATTCGACATTTTTTCAATATCTATAAAATTTCAATTTTATTCTTGCCTTCATTGTTCTTTTTATTTTCAATATAATTAAATAAAAAAAGATTCTTTACTTAAGAGCATTATAGAAATGTACAAACCTATATCAACGAATCATCCTGCTTTTGAAGTGTTAGTCTATAGAAATATTATTCTAGAAAATTCTCCTTTCATCTTTTTACGCTGTTGACCAAGTAAACTTACGAGGAAACCAGCCAAGGTGTCCAACACCGATTTCCTTCATTCATAGGTCATTTGATGGAAGACGTCGAGATTGTAAAAAGGCTAAAAGGATTTGTAATGATGGCTCTTTATTGAAAATTTAGGGATCATTTTTTCTTGTTCCCAGCTGACATCGACAAATATTAAAAATACTACAACTCAGTCAACAAAAATCGTATGCACATGAAATTTTCAGCATTTATTAACTGAGTTGTAATGTTTTCAATTGTTTGTCGATGTTAGCTGGAAAGAAGAGAAAATTGTTGATAACTTTTAAATAAAGAACCATCACCACAAATCGTTTTAGACTTTTTTCTATCTCGATATCCTTTATCAAACGATCTATGAATGAAGAGAATTGGTGTTGGACATCTTGGTCAGTTTCCTCGTCAGTAATCTTATATATGATTTAATATAGAATTAAATAAATCTTATTATTATAGTTAAGAGAATATAATAAAAGAAAAACTAAATCTATTTTTAATGATAAGAATAACGAATAATTGTTAATAAGATTGAACAAAAAAAAAAAAAGCGAGTTAAAATTTTTGAATAATAGTTGATGTTTGAGAATGAATTGAATTTGATGAAATAATTGTTGGTTGATCAATTGAAATAGAAGAATTAATATAATAAGTTGAATTAAAATGAGATTGATTAGATTTTATTTGTAAATATTCTTCTAATATTTTAATAAAATCTCTTAATTGTTGAATACGTTTTTCTTGTTTATTAATTATTGAATTAATTTCTTTTTCTTTTTCTTGAATAAAATCTGAAGTTTGTTCAATTTTAAGTGCATCAATTATATAAATTGATTTTATTTTATTTATATTGATACGAATATTTGATATAATATATAAATCAGATAATATTCGTTCAACTTCAACTACTTTTAAACAATATGATGATATTTCACGCATCAGATTTATTTGTTCCTATATAAAAACAAATATTTGTTTGTTTGTTTTTTTTTTATCAAAAATAAAATTGAATATATACTTGAAGACGTCGAATTTCTCGAATATTTTCTCGTTTTATATCAACTGATATTTTTCTTTGTAATCTTTGATTTGTTCGTTCAAAATAGGATCGTTGTCGTTCACAATCAAATAAATTCATTTGACCAAAATTGATTTGTGTCTAAGTTAAATTCATATATATATATTATCTATGAATATATTCTTATAGAATAATCAATTAAGATAGAATAGATTTTATAAATCTAACAGCATCAACATATTCAATGGAGGAAAAAAAAACGCAAGAATATAGATTTGACTTTGATAAAAAATATAATTTAGATCGAGAAGAATTGAAGATATACCATATATATAGAAATATTCTATCGATATATATCTATAATATGTTAATATCTCGATTTAAAACTAAACTAGTTTACTTCTATATCATGTGAGATGAACAACAAGTGAAAATATAATCTTATTTTATTTGATCTATTTAGAAAAATCGAGTTGAGATGAAAACTATTTTTAAAATAGTTCTTATCATAGAAACTGATTTAATTAAAACGATTATTCTCCTAGTTATTGTGAAGATTATTAAAATCTATGTTGATTTAATGATTAAAGTTATAGAAAAAATATATTTAAATTGATATAATAAATCTGAATGAAATCTAATTGATGAGTGTGTTAAATAACTAACATGAAGTTGAAGAATATATTTTTCATAAATATTTCGAATAATTTTAATTAATTCTTTTGGTTTATCAATAAAATGAGAAGATAATTTTAAATCTTCTTTTATATTTGCAACGGTTTCATTTAATTTACGAATCTTAAAATAATCGAAATATTTTTTTGTTAAAATTAAGAAAAAAAATCAAAACCGAACAGAAATTCTTTCATATTGGAGTTCTTTTTCTGTTGCTTTTAATCTTGCTTTATAATCATCTATTTTTATTGAATATTTTTCATTATTTTGACATAATATATCATATTCATTATCCATCTAAATAAAAAAAAAAAAAGAAAAATGTTATTTGATAAATAAATAAATAAATAAATCTGTTAACATTATTATATTGTTGAATTAAAGCTTTAAGTTCATGTTGTCGAGGAGCTATATCATTTGTTAATTCTAGAATTTTATAATTAAAAACATATGCAAATTTTTCTAATTCATCTTGTCGATTTTCCATATAATTTGTACGTTTTAACTAAAGAAAAAAATTTTTTCTTTTTTTTTATAAAGTAAAAAGTTGAATAAAACTTTATCTTGAATAATAAAATTTCTCTGTTGAATTGTTTGTTTAGCTCTATTTAAATCATAATCAATTTGTCGAATTTGATCAATAAATTGATTTCGTTTAAATTGAATTTCTTTTATTTTATCTTGAAAAGAAATTGATTCTTGTTCAAGTTGTTCAATCTAAAATAAAATAATTTATTTAATTAAATAAATATATTTATTATTTAACTCTTATATTAAGTAAAACTTGTTCATTTTCTAATTGTTCGATTTTATCTAAAAGAATTTTTAATTTTTTAATATATTCTTTATTTATATAATTTAATTCGAATTGAGAATATTCATCATAGAAATATTTTATATCTTCAATATAATTAATACGTTCATTTAAATATTTATTTTTCTATTAAATAAAAAAAAAAAAAATAATTTTTATTTTTTAATTAGATGAAAAAAAAAGATACTTGAATAAATATAATATTTATATTATTTATTTTATTTCTATATGATAAATCAATTAATTGAATATATCTTCTATATAAATGATTAATAAATTGAATTTTTTCATTTTGACTTATATATATTTGTTCAATATTATATTTAACAATATTTTCATGAATTATTTCTTTTTTATAATTATTTATTTTATCTTGATTATATTTATTAATTAAATATTCATTATTTTCAATAAATTCATTTAATTTTAGTTGATCTTGATTTAAAAAGTATAATTTATGTTGAGTTAATTCTTTTATTTTCATATTAATTCTATTTATATGGAATTGACAATCAAGATCAAGTTGATGAAAATTTTCAATATATTCTTTTTCTTTTATTTCAATTTTATTTTCATATTCATGTCCAATTTCAAATTCACGTTTTATTAAATTATTTAATTCAATACTCTATTGTTAAATATTTCAATTTTTTAAAAGTCCGAACGAAAAAACAAAAACGTCAATAGACTATCATCAATTCATATAACTATTCAGATAAAATATTTCTATCGAAATAAGATTCTATTGAAATTGTTTTAGACACGTTAATATTCGAGTCAGTCAACAGTTGAAAACAGAAACTGAAAATCGAAAATCGAATATCCTAGAATAATTAACGAAGAAAAAGTAAATCAAGTTAAGAATGATTATCAGATATCAACCAAGATGAACTATTCACTCTATTGACTAGACTTTATCATAATCACAAACAAGAAGACACTGGATTATTAGGGAATATCTATTATTCAAACCCATACAAGGTTAACATTTGTTCAATCATTTCACAGATCAAACACTTCATCGCAGCTCATTCTTCGAACTCCCATTATTTCTTCAGTAATTCTTCTATGCTTTTCCATAAGGTGATCAATTTTCGATACTACTGCATTGACAAAATTGATTGAATCTTTTCCTAATTGAATGTCTAGTTGTCCTATTTTTTCTAAATTCGATTTCTATTTATCATTTTCGAATGATCAATTATTCGAATTTGATCATTTCTAAAACAATTTTAATTGTATTTTATCTCATATATATTGAATAAAGGTTAAATAAATATACGATAGAATTGTAAAAAAACCAATGTTGAATAACTATTGACGTTAGTTTTTCGTTGAGACTTTTGGAAGATATTGTAGAAAAAGAAAAATGTTTACTTGTTCTTTAAGAAGATTTTCTTGGGCAAGTATTTCATCATGAAAAGTAATATTTGATATTTTATTTAATTGATAATGATTTAAATTGTATAATATAATATGTCCATCGTCTCCTGTTGAAATAATTAAATCATTACTAAACGATATTAATATCTAAATATATTAAATTTATTCAAATTAAATTCATTTATTTAATTATTAAATAGAATAAATATCATTTCTCAATCTCAACTTTGAATTGTGCAGTTAAAAAGGTAATTTAGAATTTGATAATTTTGATAATCACCTTCTTCAACCTTTTGTTTTTTCGTTGAGAAAAATTGATAGAAACTATATTCTAGAGTATCAACTTTAAATCATATAGAAAAGTCTTGTCTTTTAAGAATTAATTGAAAAAATCTTCATTAGATTTATTTTTCAATATTCGTCTTTGATTCTCTTTTCTAAACCTTTCAAAAAAAAAACACACATCAATTCAGGAAAATTCAATCACAATGAACTTCATTATATGGATTCCCTCGTTACCAATTGATCAGTTAACAACAAATTTAAATTATTTTTCAGTGACGTATTCGAGCCCCATATTGTTTGAAAATGAACGTTTTTTATTTCTTTCCTAACATTTTATAAGAAAAAGATCGTAGATTATCTCAAGTTCTATACTATAAATTGTTTTAAATCTATATAAACTATGTTCAGTTTTTATATGTCTCTTACCAAATCAAGGATCAAAGACTAAAATTTAACGATTAATAACGAAAGATAAAATAACTAAACAATCTTATGGAATATAGATGATAACTTGCTCTTATCACATCCTATGTTTTTCACTTACAATTTTTCGACATGTTTGCTCTATTGAAAATGACAAG